GGGCTGGGGATTCGAACCCGCCACCTTAGGTGTACGTGGCTGGCGCCTTAGCCGGTTGAGCTATAGGCACCGAGCCTACCTCTCTGCTTCTAATCTAGCCCTCCACCTATAATCTTGATCACTTCCTGTTCCTTAGTTGGTTGTTTCTCATTTCTTTCTATCCTGTCCTTTATACTGGCCCCATCCCTATGTATTATGATTTGCTCAAAGCTCTATCATCTGAAGGGGAAGAATAAAATCCAACATATAATAAAATCTTCCCTGGATGAGTGAGGTGGCTTATGCTTGTAACCCTAGTACTCTGGGAGGCTGAGCCAGGAGGATGCTTTGAGTTCAGGAATTCAAGACCAGCCTGAGCAAGAGCAAGACCCTGTCTATACTAAAAATAGAAAAAACTAGCTGAGCATTGTGATGGGTACCTGAGGTCCAGGTAACTGAGAGACTGAGGCAGGAGGATTCCTTGAATCCAGGAATTTGAGGTTGCTGTAAGCTAGGCTGAGGCCACTACACTCTAGCATGAGTCAAAAGAGACCCTGTCTAAACAAATAAACAAACAAATCTTTCCCTTGACCACCATATTGGCTGTTCCTGCTGTCCTCCTAAGTGCTAATATTTTGCAGGCTTACATCTTTAATCTTCTTCCCACCTCACTCTACACAGAATGGGCAAACTTAGCCACTCTTACGAGCTTCAACTACCATCCAAGCCAGCAGCCAGCAAATCTTTTTTTTTTGCAGTTTTTGGCCAGGGCTGGGTTTGAACCTGCCACCTCCAGCATATGGGGCCAGCACCCTACTCCTTTGAGCCACAGGTGCCACCCAGCCAGCAAATCTTTATCTCTAGTTCTTCAGGTGCCAATCTCACATGTTAAACTTTTATGTTTACACCTTCAGACCTCAACATGTCCAAAATTGAACTGATCTTCCCAAGTTTGTGTCCACTTCCGTTTGGATTGTTCAAGGACTTGACACCATCTCCTCGACTAGTCATCTATTGATCCCTATTTATCCCAATTGCTACTGCCTCAGTTCAGTATCTCTTCCTAATCTCTTTCCCAGCCTCCAGCCTTGTTCCCTTAAATCTAGTCTCAATGAGGTTAACTGATTTGCCCACATAAGACCTTGCTTAAAACCCTTCAATGGTAAATACATAAAGAAACTTTAGGGTGGTGCCTATGGCTCAAAAGGGTAGGGCGCCTGTCCCATATGTCGGAGGTGGCAGGTTCAAACCCAGCCCTGGCCAAAAACAGCAAAAAAAAAAAAAGAAACTTTATACTGGTTGTCTCTGAGAACTGGGGGATCTAGGATAAAAGAAATATTTATCTTCTACTTTATACTATTTGAATTGTTCACCATAAGCATACAAAACTAAAGTGACTCCCGACACAAAGTCCTTCATGGTCTCTGCTGTTTACTTTTTGAGCTTCTCTTTCAAGTCACCACTTTGTCCAGAATGCGTCATCACTTTTCCCATCTGCCTTAGAGTCTACTGATTTGTCTACTGACTTCTCCATAAAAAACATACCTCTTTCTGCTTTTTATCTACTCGATGCTGTACACAGATTCCATCATGACACGTGTATCTCACGTTGTATATGACAGTTAAATTGTTTTAAATGTCTGTTTTCTTCCATTATCCTGAGATTTAGATTCCCTCAGGCCACTTATCCACCTTTTGGATTTTTAGAGCCTAGTTTCTAAATCAAATTTTCCAGGGGCTAATACTTGGGCAAAAGTGTTTTGAAAAATGTTCCCCAAGAGATTCTAACTCTATTCTCTATTAACAACTGCACTAAAATGTAAAATCTTTGAGACTGGGAATCATCAAAACTAGCAGCATGTAGGTGCTTGATAAATGTTTTACGAAAGTGAACCGAAATAGATAAGGCTGGAAGTTGAGGGAGAGGTTGGGGCTGGAGATTTGGAAGCATCAGGATGTAAGATGATGTGAGAGAAGGAAGGAAGCCAAGGATTTCTTTTTCTTTTTTTTTAAGAGACAGTCTCACTTTTTCACCCTCAGTAGAGTGCGGTGACATCACAGCTCACAGCAAACTCAAGGAGGATTTCTTGACCACCCTGTCACTATAGAAGACTGCAGGGAAATCATTTATATGTTTTTTCTACCAAACTGTGAGTTCCCCAAGGAACAGGAACTCTGTCCTATTCATCTCTGTATGCCTGATGCATGGTAGATGTTAGGAGCTCAATAACCTTTTATTGAGTTGTATCAGTGCCACTGAAAATAGAGGGAAGTAAAATATTTCAGGGACACAAATGAGGAAGTGACTAACTTGGCCTAGGAGGGCTGGATAAATCGATCTCCAGTTCATCTGGCAAGAACTTCCAAGGAGAGGGAACAACAGGAGCATAGGTACTGAGGTATGAAAGAGCACAGCGCAGACTCAACCTCTCCAGGTGGCTAGAAGTCAAGTGCAAGAAATGTCAGATAAAGCAATTGTACTTGGTTGATTGGGGAAAAAAAAATGTTACAGAGCTTTAGAAAATGACGTCAACGGGGTCAGGGCCAGACTGTGAAAGGCCACGGACGTCACCTATCCTTTTAAGCCTGACTACAGGTGATCAAAGAGAAGTTTTAATATAAAATGACCAGTTTGACTTTTTATACACGTACTAGGGGCAACATGAAAGGCAAACAAAAAAGTGCGATACTCAAGGAAAAGCGCTTAAGTAGCGGCTGCTGGTCCAGCCGACCAAACTCAGAAAAAAACGAAGACAGGGAGGGAGAAACCCATTCTGTAATAGCCCAAGATTCAAATCACGCGGCCTTGTGAATGCCCGCCACTGCCGACCGCCAAGCCACACGCCTGTGCCTTCGGGTCTGAACTGGGTGGGGAACGCCGAAGAAGAACCCCCAGGAACCGTCTGTTCTCCTTTTGGAGTTCCAAGCCTCTTCCTACCAGAGACCCATCCCGCGCGACGCCCAAGGTGTGCAGACCCGCGCAAGGACAAGGGAGCGTCCCGGGCGAATTCGGGACGCTGCGGCGCCAGACTGAGGCTCAGGGTGGGGACCTGTCCTTGCCTCTTACTAGGTGGCGGGAAAGGGGACTTGACGCCTCCAAAAAATGCCCCTGCGGCTTTTGAGGGGACACATTTTCTCTTAGAACCCTGTCGCCGCATATTCACTCACCCGCTTCCCGCGGGAGTTCAGGAGCCCGGCGGAGGCAGCAGCCCTCAGACGCCAGGCCGCAGCCTTTCCCGCCACTCGGCTCCACCGACAGCCCCCGCCTGCGCAGGAAGGGGCGGGGCGAGTCGGCCTGGTCCACATGACTCTGTGAGGGGGTGACAGTGGCGTTGGTGATGAAGTAAGGGAAAGGGAGCGAGTACGAGGACTGTTTTATCCAAATAGATCCCCTATATTACCTAATAATTACAGCGCTATGGTTTCCAGCTGAATTATAATAGAATCAAAGTCCGATTAGAGGTGAATTTACAAACATTCTTCCCCTTTCTTCTAGTCAAGTGGACTATTCCAAGTCTTAAAAGGTTAGAAAAGTTAGGTTTTATTTGCGAGGAAGTGGGAGGGGTGGTCTTTGAGGGGAGGGTGTCTCTGTGGGTACTATAGGCCTAAGTTTAAAGCTTTCCGGAAGGCTCATGAAAGGAAGAGGTCAACAACAAATATTCATTGATCAGCTGAGCGTCTCCTCCGGCCTCTGCTGAGATGGTTGTATTTTGTCAACAGCAAAAGAAGATAGGTTTCTAGCCCAGCGAGGCCCCTGTAGTCCCAGTTATTCGGGAAGCTGAGGCAGGAGGATCGCTTGAGCCCTGGAGTTCGAGGCTGCAGTGCACTACGATTGAGCTTGTGACTAGCCACTGCACTCCAGCCTGGGCAACATAGCGAGACCCCGTCTCTAGAGAAAGAGAGAAAAAAAAAGAAGAAGATAGGGCTCAAATTAAGCATTTAAATAGAAGGCATCAATTTCTGGCGGATGAGGGAGACTTAGAAGAGATTTGCTTCATGATGAATGGACAGATGAGAGAGAAGTGACAAGACACACATCCAAGAAGAAAAGACTAAAACTAGTGATAAAAGTAGAAAGATGCCATTTGAAGAGAGTTTTGACTTGCTCTAAATAAAAATTCTGAGGGTCAAATTCTCTCCCTCCCTATTCCCCCACTCCCAGCTGCATTTGCACCGGGCACCAAATGTCCTGTTTTGGCCTTTAGGGAGCAATTCTCAAGCTTAAATGCCACATGCCAGGAAGCCACACCAAGGGGTGTCAGGTAAACCAGATAAACTGTTTAATTTTTCTAGATTCTAGACTCACTGCCCACCCCTTATTTAAGTTGGGAGCTCCCTGGCCCAGGGCCACCAAAGAGATCCATTATGCCAGAATGAACACACAACCCAGCCAGTGGATATAGACAGGTTTATGTGGCTTTACAGAACAACTCAAATCCCAGTGTTCACTTTTCTCAGAGCTACTTCCCCACCTGAGTCCCTGGGGCAAGCATCCCTGAGATAAGGAGGCTAAATGTTCCCCTTAACTTCCCTAAAACTTCTTGGTACACTGGCATCCTGAGCTGGGCTAATAGCTCCATTTCCTCTGTCACCTACCTCCATGAAGTCCCTTCTCCCAACCCTTGGAATGCCTCGTCTCCTTCATTTCTCTGCTTCATGTGAGAAGTGATCCCCCACTTTCCTTTTCCCTTAGAAATCAAAACCTATACACATGACTGGCAACAGATTAGAGGCCAGAAACCTAAGGTTTGGGTTCCTTGTGCTCACCACACTGAGTTGAGGATGGCAAGTATAGAATGACACCTCTTTTCCTTCCCTAGCTCTCAGACACAGCCACACTCACTCACATTCATATGCACAATCAGCCACACACCGCGAAAGGAAGTGGGATGGGGAGGAAGGGAAGTTTGCACCAACCAGCTCGTGAATGCAACTTGAAAGATTTCACACAGCAAAAGGGGAAAAAAAAAAACACGCACATAAGTTAAAAAATAAAGAAGTACATGCTCCTCCCCACAGTCTCTTTCTTCATCCAGAAGACTAGATCAGCCCTTCCACGTAAACCCAGAAGCTTTCTACTCCCTCTCTCCAGCTGGAGCTTTTACAGGGCCTGGGTCTTCAGTTCAACAGGTTCTCCTGTGACCTCTGGTTGTCCATTAGGGTCACTGGGTCTGGCACCCTTGAGAATAGACAGTCTCTCAGAAACACTCTTGAGCCGAGGGAAGAGGAGAAAGTCGTAGAGGAGGCTGCCCAGGCCCCCTCCAATGATTGGTCCCACCCAGTACACCTGTAAGAAAAGAAAAGGAATATTCAGGTTTGGGAAGGGGCTAGAGCAGCAAGGTTTCTCTTTTTCTAACCCCTTCAGTGGAAAACATGACATCCTACACTTGGCACATCACTCGGGCATTATCTAAGTAGAAATCAGTGTGGGGTTTTGGGGGGTTTTGTTTGTTTGTTTTTAATTCTGAGACAGTCTCATTCTATTCCTCAGCCTAGAGTGCCCTGGCATCATCATTGCTCACAGCAACCTGAGTCTCTTGGGCTCAAGCAATCCTTTTGCCTCAGCTTCCCCAGTCGCTAGGACTACAGGCTCTCACCAGGACAAATGGCAAGTTTTTTTTTATTTTTAGTAGAAACAAGGTCTTGCTCTTGCTCTGGCTGGTCTTCAACTTCTGAGCTCAAGCAAGCCACCCATCTCAGCCTCCCAGAGTGCTAGGAGTCTAGGCATAAGCCACTGTGCCTCGCTTTGCTAATTTTTAAAACTCTAGACTGTTCTACTACCTGTACCTGAACCCTCCCTCCCCTCAGAGTCAGGGTCACTCTTTTGCCTAGACTCAAGTGCAGTGGCATGATCATAGCTCACTGCTGCAACCTCAAACTCCTGGGCTCAAGCGATCCTCCTGCCTTTGCCTTCTGAGTAGCTGGGACTACAGGAACATGCCACCACACCTGGCTAATTTTAAATTTTTTTCTGTAGAGATGGGGTCCCACTATGTTGCCCAGGCTGGTCTTAAACTCCTGGCCTCAAGTGATCCTATCACCTTGTCCTCCCAAGGTATTGGGACTATAGGTGTGAGAGACCACATGCAGCCTCTTTTCTAATTTATTAAATTATTCCTTTATCCCATGCCTTCTTAATACATGTATTTTCTTTCTTTCTTATTTTTTATTGAGACAAAGTCTCACTTTTTCACCCTCAGTAGAGTACAATGGTGTCATAGCTCATAGCTACCTCAAACACTCGGGTTCAAGCGATTCTCTTGTCTCAGTTTCCCTAGTAGATGGGACTACAGGTGCCTGCCACAATGCCTGGCTATTTTTTGTTTGTTTCTTTCTTTGTTTGTTTTGTTTAGCAGGCCTGGGCTGGGTTCAAACCCACTAGTCCTGGAGCATTAGTACATGTGTTTTCTATTTGTTATTGTCAATTTGCAATAGTTTATATATTGGTTTCAAAAATAATTTTTTTTTTTTTGGACAAAATCTCACTTTGTCGCCATTGGAAGAGTGCCATAGCATCACAGCTCACAGCAACCTCAAACTCTTGGGCTCAGGTGATCCTCTTGCCTCAGTTTTTCTACTTTTAGTAGAGATGGTGGTCTTGCTTTCTGCTCAGGCTGGTCTTGAACCCGTGAGGTCACAAAATCCACCCACCTCAGCCTCCCAGAGTGCTAGGATTATAGATATGAGCTACAGCGCCTGGCCGCAACCTTAAACTCTTGGGCTTAAGCAATTCTCTTGCCTCAGCCTCCTGAGCAGCTGGGACTACAGGTGCCCACCACAACGCCCAGCTGTTTTTTAGAGACAAAGGTCTCACTCTGACTCAGGCTGGTCTCGAACTTCTGAGCTCAAGCAATCCACCCCTTAGCCTCCCAGAATGCTAGGAGTACGAGTGTGAGCCACCGCGCCTGGCCTCGCGTAGTAAACATTTTTGGGGCCTTGTCTTTTTCTGTCGAGACAGAGTTCTACCCTATGCCCTGAGCAGAGTGCAATGGCATTGTAGTTCACTGCAACCTCAGACTCCGGCTGTGGGCATTCTGCTGCCTCCACCTCCCAAGAAGCCACTGGGATTACAGGCACTTGCTGTGCGTCTGGCTGGATTTTCCATTTTTTTCATGAGTCAGGGTCTCACTCTCACTCAGACAAGCCTCAAACTCCTGAGCTCAAGCAATCCTCCCGCCTCAGCCTCCCACAATGCTGGGATTATAGGCGTGAGCCACCATGCCTGGCGTATTAAAAATTTTTCAGTATACAGTTTGGTACTGTGAAGTATAATCACACTGTTGTGCAACCCGTATCTAGAACTTTTCATCCTGCACAACTGAAACTCTAAGAACTGCCTATGCAGCCACTGCTATCTCAGTCCCTGGTAATCACCCTTCTGCTTTATTTCTTCCAGTTTGAGTATTCTAAATATTTTATATTAAATTCAATCATATTGTGTTTGTCTTTCGTGACTGACTTATTTCACTTAGTATAATGTCTTTTATGTTCATTCATGTGTCAGAATTTCCTTCCTTTTTAAGGGTGAATAACATTCCATTTATGTATATACCATGCTTTGTTTATCCATCCACCCATTGAGGGAAACTTGGGTTGCTTTCACTTCTTGGGTTGCTTCACTTCTTGGCTATTGTGAACAATGCTGCTGTGAAAGTGGGTGTGCAGCTTGGAGATTTAAAAAATTATCTTCATGTTTAGCTTACATGTGCTCAAAACAACATAAATATAACCAATATTTATTGAGAACTTGTTCCATACCAGATTCTGTGCTAAATGTTTCACACATATAACTTTCACACATTTCTCACACCGGTAATACCTCATTCCGTAGTTAAAGAAACTGAGGTGCACAATGATTGAGTTCTTTGCCCACATCACAAACAAAGCTAGGAAAGTGTTAGAAATGGGACAGGGTCCAGCTCCATTAATACATCCTGATCTCTGCAAGCAGAAGCTTTTGTCTTTATGTATTATATTTATTTATCCTTAAAGCCCCTAGTTTTGGCATCCACTGGATCCTCAATAAAAATCCCTGACTAACCAGAGAAGGAACAATACGAGCAATATTTCTAGCAAAATAATGATTCTGGCTCACACAGGCATGCCGAACTCTCTGACAGCCTCTTAGCTGAGTGCCAGTAGAGCACTCAGATGGAAAGCAGGGACCCAAACTGGAACCTCCAGTCCACACCCATCCAGAAGGGCTCCAGGATCTTGCCCCTCTCCCCTCACTCACCCAGTGGTTGGTGAAGTTCCGGGTGAGAATGGCAGGAGCGAAGGAGCGGGCAGGATTCATGCCTGCACCAGTATAATACATCTGCAAAAGACACAGTTATAACTGAAACAACACCCAGCTCCACCCCAGCTTCTCTTCCCACAGCCCACATTGCTGCTGAGAGTTGGCATCTTGTCTCCAGCCAGCAACAAATGAGCAAGCACCATTTGCATGACCTTCCAGGGTCCCACCTGGGGACAGACTATGGAGCCACAGGCAAAGCCCACCTGTGTCCATGATGCATGCATTTCTTGGGGACAAGGACTAGATAGAGAGATCACATGAGAGGGACAGGGTAGGTTGATTCCTCTCTGCCAATACAGAATGTAGCAGATAATATTCATGTTTGACAGTGGGGTGGACAGGAAGAACTCTTAAAAGTCAGGAACTCCTGGAATCCTGGAATGATAAGTTGCTTCTCTCTTCTGCTTACCCCAAAGAGGTGCCCCAGGGTAAGGGAGAAGCCAACAGCCAGCGCCACGGAGCCCAGTCGGCCATTCCGCCTCTCGTCATATGTGGCAAAGATACAGAGCACGAACTGGAGTGTCAGGAAGATCTCCACCATGGTGGCCTGGCCCACACTCACCCCAGGGTGTAACTGGACAAAGGAAGAAAAAAACAGCAGCTCGTTAGGGCTGCCACAGTGTTACCTCCTCAAAGCTTCCCAGGCAGGGATTCCCTTATGCCTCAATTCCCTGGAGAGGAAGGATAATACAACCTCCTTCATAGTAACTGTATTTGTATCTTAATTTCTACTAATAATACTCTTTCATGGTGGAAATTATTGCACCCACTTATATGGATGAGGAAACTAGACTCTGTAAGGTAAAGGACATTTTCTCCTCTTTTGTTTTCTTTTCACAGGTTTAAGACCAGCCTGAGCCAGAGTGAGACCTCATCTCTAAAAATAGCCAGGTTGTGGCTGGCGCCTGTAGTCCCAGCTACTTTGCGAGGCTGAAGCAAAAGAATTGCTTAAGCCCAAGAATTTGAAGTTGCTGTGAGCTGTGATGCCATAACACTCTACTGAGGGCAACAAAGTGAGGCTCTCTCAAAAACAAACAAACAAAAACAAGGTCCGTAGAGAAACAGTCTCACGGCTCGGTGCCTATGGCTCAAAGGGCTAAGGCATCAGCCACATACACCTGAGCTGGTGGGTTTGAATCCAGCCTGGGCCGCCAAACAACAGTGATGGCTGCAACCAAAAAATAGCCAGGCGTTGTGGCAGGTGCCTGTAGTCCCAGCTACTTGGGAGGCAGGAGACTTGCTTTAGCCCAGGAGTTGGAGGTTGCTGTGAGCTGTGATGCCATGGTACTCTACCCAGGGCAACAGCTTGAGGCTCTGTCTCAAAAAGAAAAAAAAGCAGTCTCATTCTGTCACCCAGGCTAGAGTGCTGTGTCATCAGCCTAGCTCACAGCAACCTCAAACTCCTGGGTTCGAGCAATCCTCCTGCCTCAGCCTACTGAGTAGCTGGGACTACAAGTACCTGATACAAAGCCCGGCTAATTATTTCTATTTCAAAGTAGAGACAGGGTCTCACTCTTGTTCAGGCTGGTCTTGAACTCCTAAGCTCAAGGAATCCTCCCCCCTCGGCCTCCCAGGATGCTAGGATTACATTAGGATTACAGGCATGAGCCATTGTTCCCAGCCAGGAAGTTTTCTCAAGAACCTGAAAGGAATTGGAAGGAATGCTGAAAACCAATTTCAGGTTTCTTGATTCTCAATCCAGGGCCCTGTGCCTTTCTTAGACCTCCAAACCACCTATCAATCCTCCCCACCCTAACACACACATACACACATTATCCCAAAGCCCAGAGGAACTGATTCACCTACGCCAGGCAGGGAGTCAGAGCCACAGAGTGCCCCAGCCCCTCTCAGCTGACCATTACCGTGTTGAGTGCTAGGTTTCCTCGGACGGCAGGCGGGGTAACACTATACAGCACAGCGGCCCCCGCCACGGCTCCCAGGAGCTGGGCTGCCATATAGCAGAAGGCACGGAGCAGGGACATCTGGGAGCCCACAAGGAAGGCAAAAGTGACTGCAGGGTTGACGTGGGCTCCACTGATGTGGCCCACAGCCTGCACCAGTGTAGCCAAGGCCAGGCCAAAGGCCAGAGCCACCTGCAGGACATGTAGTGGTCCAGGAGCCCAACGCAGTGAGGACCCCAGTCCAAAGAAGACATAGAAGAGGGTAGCAAAGAATTCAGCAAATATGGCCCTCCAGAAGGAGGCTGACCGCAGTTCCCACATGGCAGGGGGGATGGACACAGTGCCTGGGTCCCTGCTACCCCCCTGGCCTAGTCTGGGTGGACAGTCCCCTTTATAGAGGACTCTTAATCCCTGGGAGGGGCAGGCTGGGGTAACTGGCCCAGCCTCTTAACCCATTCATAGCTGTGGAGGGCTGGACCCACTCCCGTACATCTGACAAAGCTTCTGGATTTTCCCTTCTCTCCTCAACTGGGAGATGAGTTGAAGGAGCCATGGGGGTGATAGTGGGGCTGATCAGAGCTGGAGAGACTCTGAAAGGGAAGGACAAAGAGCAGTGGGACCAGAAGAGTTGGCCTTTCTATTTGTGTCAAAGTTCAGATTTATAGACCTGATTGAGATCTATGTTTGAACATTCCTCAACTCTCTTTGGAGGGTTCACCAAGCTGAGCTCACTCGGTGAGGTAAAGGGCTGAGCTACTGGGGACCTCAGGCTTCTTAGAGTCTCCCAGGGGTAAGGGTGGGGGGTAGGGTAAGGAATGGGGTTCAGCAGGAAAGTTGGATAACTGAAGAAAATTCTTTAGTTCCCCAGGATTAGATGGCCTTCTCCCATTGGCTGGATTGGGCTGGAATCTGTGGACCCTGCAGCTCTGGGATAGAATAGTTCTGCTGCGTAGGGCTTTCTCCAGCCTGGGTTCCCTTCCCCCAACCCATGACAGCACCTCTTTTTTCAAACCCTCAGCCTGGCCTTTTAAACTACAGAGACTGACAGAGAGAAGATGCTGTCTTCCATGCATAGACTGGGAGTGGGGTGGAGGGCTAGGGAAGGGGAAAGGGATGAGTAACTAAACCTCAGAGTCAGGTTGTATTTCATCTTTCCGAAGTCACAAAGTCATAGCAGGAAGTAGTAAAAAGAAAGAAATTGAGCTATTGCTGAGAAACAATGGGAGGATCTAATGCCCTCTATTCTGACTATAATCAGGACGCTGGAGCCCTAAACCTTGAAACCCAGGGAAAGATTAAGGGCCTTTCCCACATCCTACCCAAGGATCCTGCCATTGGCAGGAACAGTTGCCGAGAACAGGTCAGAGGACACCTCAGGGGATTAGAACTTCTGATTTAATGGAAGAGAAACAGTCCATCAGAGGTCTTTGGAATATTTTATGTTCTAGAAGCACCACTAATCTCCAGATTTCAGGCTTTGTAATCCTGGATGCATCTCAGCCAGTGATGCTCCCAGTTCTCAGTCACCACTGCTGGCCCCAGGGATTGTGCAGGGTTCACGCTGCCTCCAGAAAATGTCCCCTAAACAGGTGAGGGAATGGGCAGCACATAATGATGTTAAGAACAGAGACTTTGGGGCGGCGCCTGTGGCTCAGTGGGTAGGGCGCCAGCCCCATATACTGAGGGTGATGGGTTCAAACCTAGCTCTGGCCAAACTATAACAAAAAAATAGCTGGGCATTGTGGCGGGCGCCTATAGTCCCAGCTACTTGGGAGACTGAGGCAAGAGAATTGCCTAAGCCCAGGAGTTTGAGGCTGCTGTGAACTGTGTGACACCATGGCACTCTACCAAGGGTGGTAAAATAAGACTCTGTCTCTACAATAAAAAAAAAAAAAAGAACTGGGGACAGTGCCTGTGGCTCAAAGGAGTAGGGTGCTGGCCTCATATACTGGAGG